AATAGCCATTTTGACATCTGCTATTATTTCCACAACCATTGCTCGTGCTTAGCACCAAGGGACCACTCGCACTGGCAAACACAGTTGTTGAACTTGACAGTTGGTTATCAGCGAAGTGCTCTTTGGTGGTTCAGTACCTGTTCTAAGAAGCTCCTTGAAATTCCCAACTCGAAGGTCAGGAGAGAAAAATCCTTTCTGCGTATGGCCTCTTTTCGTTCATCAGGTGTGAGCGAGCAGACGTGTGGAGTATGTTTGCACGCGTGTATCACCATGTCTTCCGTTCAGAGTTTTGATCAACCTTCTCCATGTGGCTGTGTTTGTAGTGGTATGAGTTTAGGACCCTGCTCCACTATCAATGCCCAAAATTTTAAAATTTTATTTCATTTTATTTTTGGTCATGGAAACAATTATTAGCGAAAGTATTTCAGTCCACGAAATCACTTTGAAGCCCTTCATGTGCGATTTTCCGTCGAAATTTGGCCTGTAAAGGTAGTTCGATGCCCTGATTACGAATATGACATTCATTTTTGGCGCTGGTGCCATTTGGCGCCATTTGTCACACGGCTGTTTTCACCAAATTCGGTGTAAACTTCATATAGGGGTTATTTGGTGTCCTGACTTACAAATGTGACATGAATTTTTAGCCTTCGGTGCTGGCGCTTTGTAGCGCCTATTTCCTGCTAATCTGCTACGTCTCACTTAGTAGAGCGCGATCAGTTCTGAGCCTATGGAAAGAGCAGAGCTCAGAGTTGAGCAAGCCTTTCACCCCGTGAACTCACACGCTTCATCTTTTGCGAAACGACGCGTTATTTACCCTGCAAGGGGTCTCTCCTCTCCAATAAGCTTAGCCTTAGATTACTACAAGTGGAAGCTCAAGAGAGCAGAAAATGTGCAAAGAAAGCGCTGATTCCTAGAACGAATGTCGTATCTATAATGAGAACACCGAATAACCCTCATACAGATTTACACCAACTTTGGCGAAAGGAGCCATCGTGACAAAGTGGCGTCAAGCTGGCGCCAAATGGCGCCAGCGTTGACAAAGTGGTCATATTTGTAATGGAGGCTACGAATTACCTCTACACACAATGATTCGACAAAAAAAGCACCTGAGATTTTGGGGCAGTCATGGAATAGTGGCGGACTCAGGTGATTTACTAAATGCAGTTTTTATCGAAATCAATATGTGGTCAGTCGAATACCAAAACCTGCACTCATCGCTCACTCCCTCCAACCCTTGTGGTAATGTTCGTTGCTGCTTGGTTGTGAAATTTGAATTTCGCAATCGTAAGGTTCAAAGAGACTGCTTTTTAAAACCTGTTTAACATTTAGTCAGCCCGTGCACATTTCTCACGAGGCGATGGAAATGCATCCACTGTGCAGGTCCTCTTTTTCATGGAGAGAGGTTTTTCGTTACACCTCTTCCTTAGCTTCTAATTGGAAGGAACTCAGTTGGGCCAGCTGTGCACAAAAGAAAAGCAGGTTTGTTGAAGAGAATCAGTCCAAGTCACTGTCCTACTCATTGCTTTGCTATTGCATCCCGATTAGAAATTTCCGCAGAAATTGTGCGTTTCTACCCATGAGCGAGCAACTGTGCGCTGTTTGTGAAGGGCGCTCTGATTTTCCCTAGCAGTGTGACTGGATTCGAAATCTAGTGTGCATCTGCTTGGTTATGGGTAAGTCGTTACAGGGGTATTTGACCAGTTTGGAAGATTTGCAATATACGTGCTGAATCATGGGCATGTGGTGTAGTGGCAGTAGCGCCACTACAACGCACAGTGACCGTGAGTCAGATCGAATTTTGCCGAGACAAGCCTTAATCCCTCTTGAGTCGGTTAATTGATACTGAAGTTGGGGGCCAATGAAACTTGTGGCATGGAAATCGCCTGACCTGTGAGTCCATTATTCAGGCCAAATCGCATAAAATGCCACACTTATTATAAATTAATGGAATTAGTGACGATTTCCAGAAGGGGTCGATTTAATCGAAATGCTTTCTTCTTTTATATTTGTGCTATCAAAAGTCGAGCCTCTAGCTATGAAGGCGATTGCGGATGAATTTATAGGTAATTTTCACTAAAATTCTCTTTTAATTGATATGTACGAAAAGCCATGCAGTTCATGTGCTCACCAGTGCAATATCCTTTGACAAAGTACGTATTTGATAGCGAAAGGAACCAGAAAAGAGGAAATCGTAGAGTTAAAGGCTTCCGACTTTTTAAATGTTTTCTGTTCCTATTGCTTCCTCACCTTTTCGTGCATTCGTACTATTTACGATTATATGTCTTCTTCATCTAACGGCTCCTTTCATTATGTGATGGATCTCTTCACATGACCAAGCACTAAAGATAGGAGTATATGGTCAAAAACAACATTAATTAACAATACAAAACAAGTCGAAATGAATTTACGAGACAGCTTTCAGCCTCACAGTTCATTGCCGATGTGGGCTAAACAGCTTATCTATATGTGTGTGAGCGCTGAAAGCTATGGTAAATATATCATTGATAGCTGGTAAAGGTGCCCCTGTAGTGTTATTAGTAGCCTAGCTTGCCGGAGAGCCAGAGGTGTAGGTTCGATCCCCGCCGGCTTCGAAGTGTGCTACCCATAACCCAGCTTTCGTGCGGCTTTCACATGACGGGCTGCGGTCAAAAACAGCACCTAACACCAGCAGTCAATCAGCAGAAAGAAGTCAAAATAAACTTCTGATAAAGTTCGGTATGCTTAGTCCTTTCCTGTTTCGTTGAAGCTAGACCTAAGATGAGATTTGTTTCTAAATTTTGACAGTGTTGTCTTCGGTACTACCTGCACACATGCTGACAGGCTTACAATAAGTTTATTTCTCTTTGAATCCCAAAGAGGGTCACGCTGCGATAGGAGCTACACTGGCCAAAGTAGACTTTTTATTATCGAAAAAAGTAAAGTATCGATTTTGTCATTTCTTTGTGTTAATTCAAGACAAAAAGAACATTTTTCTCTTTCAGAGTAAAAGGCAATATATTTTCCTAGTTAATCGAAGCACACCTCCAGATCAAGTTTGTGGGGCCGTCGCGGTTTATAGAGAAGTTGCGGTGCCGAATTGACTAAAAATGAAAAAAGGCAAAGAAACCGCCGATGAAGCCCGAAACGAAAATTCCTCTTGGAAAATAAAGGGCGGGCCGGACGAGTTGTACGAACTTGCCTGCTCCACGGCTCAACTAACCCGCGCGTATTTGAATTAGCCGCTACGCCGTAATCCACGTTGCGTGTCATGGGGTGTGCGCGACGTAACTCGTCCAAATGCTAAGATTAGTCGCCAAATGCTGACTTTGTAAGACCCTAGCGCCATTGTCGCGCACTTTCGAGCCGCGACAACGGCACATCTGTGCTACTCGTAACTACTTAATCACCCACTGAATAGATTCCTCGACAAGACTTCTGCTGGGGGTGTTGCTTTAACATTTAGCGCACTCTTTTGGGGTTATGGCCGTTTCTTGCTCGATGCTCTGCTTTCTCACCTCCTTTTCGTGTTTTTTTTATTGTTTATGGTTGTTTCTCTTTCTATTTTATGATATTTTCCGTCATGTGATGTATCTTGTCATATGGTTAAGCATCATAGATCGTTTAGTTAGCTATTAATTCACCCGCAAGTGATCGATGAATCTCAAAAGCATATATGAGCCAATTTGAAGACATCTCGGAAATGCCTTGAGCCGCTCCTCCTGCTCTGTATATTCATCAGGGAAGTCGTTATCTCTCGCGTTCAGTTGAGTGTCACTCGCACGATTTGTTTACTCCTTGCCTCTACCTCGCCGTCTTCTGCTGTTGCGCGGCGAGATTAGTTTTCCGATGACGGTGTTTTGTGCATGAGGAATCTGTGTACCTATTATCTTGTTGGCCCGATGTTGCTTCTTCATTTAGACAACCACTGAAGTTCTTACTAATCGCGTCTATTTGCCCTTTTTCCTGTTTCTGTATATGTGTGTCTGTTTATTACATTCTCCCTCATTTCAGTAGTTAACAATCACCATGCGGAGCGAGATGGGAAGCGAAGTACCGGAGGACCTGGAAGAAGGCCTCTCCGTGGAAAAACAGCAAGAGCAGCAGCTGATGAATAAGCTAGCTTCTCAAGGTCGGCTACCCGCTCGGCCAGCTTCCTCGTTTTTGCAGAAGAAACTGCAGCAGAGGGTTGGTGAATTTAATTATTCCCATTGTTCCAAAGAAAATTTCACGAAACGAAGTTGCTAGGAACGAAGTAAGGAGAGGGAGTGGAAAGCCTCCTTCACTGCATAGACTATCTCATACGGATAGAGTGGAATAATCTCTGATCCCTGTATTAGAGGCAACTTTTAGCGATGCGGATTCGTTCCCCCTTACTAGACTATCCACGGGTCGTATCCGATTCTTCCCTCAGGATGGGGCGAAAATCCCTTTAACCCATTGCGGACCGCGTGCTGCACCATGTGCGGCATGCCCTTTGTGGAAAAGGACAATAAGTTTGATTTTTTCAGCATTTTGTTGCGTTACAAACTCATCAGCAAGCTTTTTGGACGCAAAATATATCATTTATTGCGTACTGATTAAATTTTTGATAGAGTTAGTCACTGACAAAACAGGTAACAAAAACTCACTAAGGTGCAAACATAATGGCGGTTCGCAATGGGTTAAATTTTTTGGTGGAACTCCAGTTCGGGGAAGGGCACTCCATTGTGCTCTCCAATAGAGGATAAGGATCAGAGTTTTCATGACACGTAATCGATTCATTTAAATTACTTCTGATAAGGACCGGTGTAGTGTGGAAGTACTCCTAAGGTGCTTTCAGATTTCGGCCTGCTGTGGTCCAAGGAAACTAGGGTATGGACATCCTTTCCTAGGCGCAAGGGTGTAGGAGCCCAGGGTGGACGATCACATGCCATAAATTGCCTAGGATGTGAGCAGGATGTGCGTGATGTAGGGCATACACCGGTCCTTATCAAAAGTGCACTTGAAATGAGTCGTTTACCTATATCTTATCCATAGGGTTGAATGCCCAAAGGGGTGCTCTCGAGTACTGCGGATAAGATAACAGGAAGTGGTTCTCCCCGAAACTGGAGTTTCACTAATTTTGGTGTGAATAAGTAAGCATGTGCTAAACGTAATGAAAGATCGTGAATAAAAATGAATTCAAAGAGATTTCAATTCCCCTAGCCTGAGGGAAGGGTAGGATACGGCCCCTAATGAAAGCGCAGTTTGCAATCGATAAAATGCAGCGTCTTGTAAATTTATGCATTTTCTTTGATTAATTTCAGAAACTTCTATATTTCTGATGTTTCAGTGTATTGTTTAAGGTTTGTGGATACATTCATTGTTGAGCATACAATTCAGAAGTTCTTCGACTCTGGTGATTACGCCATGGATAAAGATCGTAGCAGGCAAGTTGCACCCGTTGTTTGGTGGTCGCCTTCCTCATCCGATGGCTGCTCCAACGGTTTTATCCTCAGCTTGTCCAGTCCCTAGATCGGCTTCTGCCGCTGTTGCTGAACCGACTTCTCCCGATGGTGAAACAAATCTTCAGGTATGCTTATGTTGGTTTTTGACTCTGTTTTTGGTTAGAATGCACAATTGTTTGGCATTTCAGATTCCTCGTCCAGATACTGTGCCTCAGAGAAAGGCTTCCATTATCAATCCGTCAGTGCACTGCAAACTCAGCCCAATGCCACATGTTCAGGTTTGTGATGAAATGTGCTTGCTGGGCATATCGTCGATCAAGAACATAAAGAACAATTCACTATCATCAGATTCAACGATTTCAAAGGCCGCTCTGATAAGACACTTTCGCAGTGCTTATTTTTGGATTGCCATTACACGTGGGCCGAGAAACCGCACGATTGACTGTCGTGACCATCTTTCTGTGCACTTTTTTTGGATCGGCCAGCTCCAAGCTCACTGAGTTTCTTCCCTTTGTGGCTGGCTGATTGGTGTAATTTTCTCATGACAGAATAAGGAACCCTAACGTGAACAGTTCAAAATCACTATCAACAACAATACTCGACCGGCCTCTGCAAACTATTGTATGAGCCAAATTCGCTTTGAAAAGCCTCTATATCGCCACGGAATGCTTATTGCGCTTCTCAGGGACTCGCGTTTTCTATCCTCTATTTCTGTGAGGGTTTGACAAAACTTGCTTTTTGTTGGGACATAATCGTGGAGGTTTTTCCACCCGACTTCGCCGCTTTAGCAACTCGCGATTTTTAGCCCAAAAGCGGCAAACGCCGACGAGTAATCATGTTTATCTCTTCTGTCTTATCCAGATCAGTTCCTCTTCTGTGTGTAGAAAAGAGTTATAAATTCTTTGTGTTTGAGA